TTTTTTGAAAATTCAACATTGTGCCTACACCAATATGGTGTTGTCCTTTTGCAGTTTTGCACCACCCCAGTTCCAGAGAAATAATTCCCCAAATCCAATGATGATGGGTGAGGTCTGCCTTCTCTGGAGCATTCTGGACTTGCAGGCCCAGAGATAAATAACATGTTCTGTTCTCTTTGCAGTCTGATGTGGATAATGACCTGGTTGGGGACTCCTGTGACACCAATCAGGACAGGTATGGCTTGTCTCCCAACTGCAGAGAGCCGGATGCAAACATCCAGAGAGGGTTTTACATTTCAGAACTTCCTGATACTCCATTCCTTGGGATCTCTCTGGGGGACTGGGCGGCTGGTGGAATAATAACCCTGCTTCCGATCAGGGTTACCATGAGAATTCTCCCTGAAAGTTCTGTATCTGGCAGAACAGTGTCAGAATAGGTCACTAGGCATTCCAGCAAGTGATATCTATTACAGGAGAGGTAATATAGCATCATGCTTCACAGATGGGCTCTGGATTATGAGCTAGACATAAATCTCAGCTCGCTCTCTTACATGCCAGCTAACCTTAGGCAAATTACCTAATACTTCTGTGCCTCAATTCTCTCATCTGGAAAATGAGGATGACACTAGATCTAGCTGATAGGACCGTTGTAAAGATTGAGTTGATCCATGGAAAGTGCTTCTTATGCTTTCTGTTATATACATAGCACTCAACAGATATTAGCTCTCTTATTTTTATATTCTTTCAGCTCAGGAAAACTTCACCATCATCCCAAAATAGAAGGCTGTCGGTTTGCTGAGGGATTGCTATTATTTCATTGTCCTTGAAATTGTTTTTTAATTCAGTTTCCCTTATTTAAATGGAAGTGCCCTGTGCAAGTGAGTTTTGTCAGCCCTCCTAGCTCAACACGATGGAGTCTTACATTAAGACTCAAGGCTGCATCAGCTGCCCAGATTCTGGAAGAGTATCACCAAAAACAGACAGGTGCCACTCAGCCCTAGAGGCACCTGCAACCCAAAGTTCTAAACTCTTTTGTCTCCTTAGGGAGTTCTCACACAGGCAGCCAGGACAGAGATAAAAGAGGGAAAGGATTCTAAAAGGCAAAGCCGGAAGACGCAACTTCTTTCCTGATACCTGTATCAGAGGTTGCCCTGTAGAAACCAGTTCTTGACCCAAACCTTACTCAAGAACAGCTTCTATGAAGCCACATTTTTTTTTTTTTTTTGAGATGGAGTCTTGCTCTGTCACCGAGGCTGGAGTGTAATTGGTGCAATCTCGGCTCACTGCAACCTCTACCTCTTGGCTTCAAGTGATTCTCATGCCTCAGCCTCCTGAGTAGCTGGAATTACAGGTGTGTGCCACTCTGCCTGGCTAATTTTTGTATTTTTAGTAGAGACAGGGTTTCACCATGTTGGCCAGACCAATCTTGAACTCCTGGCCTCAAGTAATCCACCTGCCTCTGCCTTCCAAAGTGTGCATCTCTTTCATTATGCTGTGTCCTTGCTGGAAAGTATATATAGTCATCCCTCAGTATCCTGGGGTATTGTTCCCAGGACACCCCTCTGCCCCCAGGATACCAAAATCCTTACTCAAGTCCCTTAAATAAAATGATGTAGTAACTGCATCTAACCTATACCCGTCTTCCAATATGCTTTTAAAATCTTCTCTAGATCACTTAATTCCTAATATAGTATAAATGCTACATAAATAGTTTTTATGCTGCATTGGTTTCTTATTTGTATTTTTTTATTTTGTTATTTTTTATTTTTCCAATCTTTTTAATCCTCAGTTGGTGGAATCTGCGGATACAGAACCACAGATTCAGAGAGCTACTGTTCTAGCTAAGTGAATGTAAGCATATTTCCCAATCTCTTGGCATCTCAACCTCCTCATCTGCAAAGAAGAGAGAAAGAAATGCATCAGGCAGGTTATGGTGAAAATTTAAGATAATGTAGGTAGAGCTCCTGGAACAGTGCTGGCCCTCAGGTGACACACAGAAAACAGGGGCCATGTTATTACTAATATCACAGTCGGAGGAAAGGCATGTCAGCAGCAGAGCCTGACATCAGATGTCTGTCTCCTTTTCCGAGGGGAAGGTGGGACTATCCTGACAACTGCCCTAAATGATGTGCATCAAGAATGTTCCTTGGTGCAGGTCATCTTGCACTCTGACTACTATCTACAGGAATTTCTAAAATATCCTATCCCACCAGCCTCTAGATATTTGCCCAAAACAGATGACTCATTCTGCTATGTTTTAATTCCCACAAAGGTGAACCTTGGAGAAGAGGACAGGAACTGCTTGTTTTTCATGTTTAGGGCTATATAACACGGCTGCTAATGGAAATAGCTTCGTCTTGTGTCTTATACAGCAGCCCTGCTGTGGGCAAAGGGATTCCGCTGTTTGAGCCACATCATCTGCTTGTCCAGGCTGGCCTCACTTTTGCTGGGCTCTTTCTGTCCCCCTGTGCCATCTGAAAAGTGTGGTCTAAGAGCATGGTCTTGTCCCTGGCTTGCCTCTCCAAGAGGGTGCACGGGCAGCCCCTGACCCAGGACAGGCTGCAGGTAGACCAGGGCAAAGGGAGTACTCACTCTCTTTCAGAGTAACCTTGAGAGGTCTCAGATTCCAGGAGACCTCAGGGAGGCAGGGCACACTCATCTTCAGGTGGCCTCTCAGCCTGGAAAATCAGGTGGACAGAGAGGGAGAATTCTGAGAAGTCTTTTAGACCAGCACTGAGCCTGGCCTACATACTCCCCTCAGGAAGGTGTGGCCCTTTTCGCTTTTCCTTCTCCCCATGGCGTTCAGGTCTGAATCCTCTTTGGATCTGCTAGCCAGGATTGTGAAGAGTAAATAACAGAAAACACTGTAGGGCTTCCTAAGAGTCAGTGCTTTTTCATATATTGAATTTTAGTATGCAAAATTCTGATGATTTTCATCATTTATTCTTCATAAATGTGGTAGGTGCTATTATTCTCATTTGACAGATGAGGACACAGCCATAGAGAGGTTGGGTGTCGTGCCTGAGGTCACACACTGGCCACTGGCTGAGCCAGGATTTACACTGAGGCTGTCTGGTTCCACTGCCTATCACTCTGTTCCCCTCACACATCCTCTGAGTGGAGTGTCATCTAGCAGTTCCCAGGGACCAATAGGAGCATCTGGTCACAATTCCTAGAAATAGACCCTTATCTTCTTGAGTAGGAAATGACTTGTTTGTTTCCAGAGGTTGAGGATGAGAAAATTGTCTGTGAGGCTCATAGGGCAGCCTTATCTAAGGGAATGACTCCAGTGGTTTGATTTTAAAAGTCAACCCCGGTTAAAAAACAAAAAACAGAACCCCTCAAGCACAGACTCTCCTTCCTGAGAATGGAGGCTTCCTGTTCCCTGCTGAACTGTGAGCTACATCACCTGTCCCTTCTCCCGCAGTGATGGAGATGGGCACCAGGACAGCACAGACAACTGCCCCACCATCATTAACAGTGCCCAGCTGGACACCGATAAGGATGGAATTGGTGACGAGTGTGATGATGATGATGACAATGATGGTATCCCAGACCTGGTGCCCCCTGGACCGGACAACTGCCGACTGGTCCCCAACCCAGCCCAGGAGGATAGCAACAGTAAGCCGGCTCAGCCCAGAGCTGCACAGCACCCCTGGGCTCCCTTTGGCCAGGCACGTGGGGGCACACCTCTCTCCAGGCACAGACATCCCCAGCTCCTGTCAGCTGCTTCTCCACACCCAGCTTCTCTGCATAGCTGCAGCTTGTATGGACTGCAGACATCTAGCAGACATGAGTCTTCAGTCAGGACTGAGCTGCTTTGCATCTTCCTGAACAACCCTAGGATGCAGTCACACAGGGCAGGGAAGCAGCCACACTGTGGCTCAGTCCCCAAAGGGCTTGGAGAGCTGCTCCACCATCTTAACCTGTCACCTGCCACCGTCCCCTGGGAGTCCCAGAAAAGGAGCAGCATAGAGAGAATGGCACAGCAGAAATGGTGTATGCTGGGTTCACAAACACAGATGCCTGCAGGAGCCAGGCAGATAAGAAAATGTCTGCACCAAGCCAGACATGAGCCAGCAGGGGTGCTGGAGACTGCGGTGACCTGGAGAGGCTGTGCCCATCCACAGCAGTGCACATGCAAAAATACAGTGCCAGCACATGAGCTGAGCAAAACACACCTGCGGGCCACATTCAGTCTAGGGGCCACCAGAAGTTACAGTCTTAGAGATATTCTGGTAACAATGATAATTTCCCTGTTTTCCGCACATTGCAGCCCAAAAAGTGCTGTAGACATTTGCTTATGTCAGCTCAAGCTTAAGATCTACCAGTTGGTGAACCCAACTGTAGGTAATAAGAACTTCCTGGGGACAGAGTGGAGGGCAACTGTTCACACTGATCTTTCAAAAAGCTCTGGGAGGACTGACCTGGTCACACAGTACAAGGACTCCAGGATGGGGCCTGGGACCAGCTCAGACATGACCCCAGGGCTGCTCTCTACACTGCTGGGAAATGATGGCCCTGGTAGCAGGAGCCTGGGCCCTCTGTTCCTCATGCAGCCCCTTTCCCTGCCCAGGAGTGGCGGTGGGTGTGAGTGCTATTGAGCTCCTGTCCTTTCTCCACCCCACTCAGGCGATGGGGTGGGAGACATCTGTGAGTCTGACTTTGACCAGGACCAGGTCATCGATCGGATTGACGTCTGCCCAGAGAACGCAGAGGTCACCCTGACCGACTTCAGGGCTTACCAGACCGTGGTCCTGGATCCCGAAGGGGATGCCCAGATCGATCCCAACTGGGTGGTCCTGAACCAGGTGAGTGTCACACGGATGGCAGGGGCTCAGCTTTGCCTCTCAACAGAGGCCCTTCTGATAGTGTAGGTCATATTTAGAGGGTACAGACAATGAGCCAGGCATTGTTCACATCCTCTTATTCCTCAATAGCCCTACGACAGACCAATTATACCCATTTTACCGAGGATGAAACAGTCTGCCACAGATTGAATGTTTGTAACAGCTTTAATAATGGTAGCACTGTGGTAAGTAGCTGAGATGACTGGAATTGGGACCCAGGCAGTCTGACCCTAGAACCCACACTTCTGATCTCTGCAGCAGACTGCCTCCTGCAAATCCTCCTCATTGTGTAACTATGAAAGGCAGGCACAGAGAGGCTCCATAGGTTTTTTCAGAGTCACAGAGCAATTCACGTTGATTAGAAGTATATGTTTTATGTTCCCCAGTTAAGGGCCCATTGAATCAACTTAAGTGACAGTCTTAGCAAACTTATTTCTATTAAGCTTTGAGCTTTTCTTAACCTTTACAAGCACGTGCTTTCTTTGAGCACATAACACATTAGAGCAACTGCTCAGATAATTAAATCTTTATATGGAGGCCAGATGTCACTGGCCACTCACTCATGATGCCTGAGGTTTTGAGCTTCCTCAAGGTTATTTGACCCTTTTCAAGACCGTTCTGAACTCCCACTACTCTCTCTGCAGGGCATGGAGATTGTGCAGACCATGAACAGTGATCCTGGCCTGGCAGTGGGTATGTCCAGGGCCTCGGTTACCACTCCCATAGAATTCTTCCAGCTACTGGTGTGGCTTGGCTACTTTTCTAATCTTATCTGATCCCTACAGGGTACACGGCTTTTAATGGAGTTGACTTCGAAGGGACCTTCCATGTCAATACCCAGACAGATGATGACTATGCAGGCTTTATCTTTGGCTACCAGGATAGCTCCAGCTTCTACGTGGTCATGTGGAAGCAGACGGAGCAGACGTACTGGCAAGCCACCCCATTCCGAGCAGTTGCAGAACCTGGCATTCAGCTCAAGGTATTGGTGGTTTGAAGTCATTCATCTCCCTTTCTTCTGGAACCTTCATGCTTTTTTAAAATGTTGTGTTCTCCCATATGGTACTTAATCTAAAAATTGATGCATTTATGCTCACGTTAGACTCAGGGAAGGCTAGAGCCCACCCAGGGCTTTGCCTTTATTCCTGTGCAGCAGCTACATTCTAACCTCTAATGGTGGGAATTCCAGCCCACGTGAGTTCATAGAGGGGAAGGCTGGAGTGCATCTTCAGGCACACTGTGTTGGAAACTGTCTAATAAGTTTCATCAGTGGGTCCAACTTTGTACAGGAGGGCTGAAGGGCTACCTCTGTCACTCGTGCTAGGACACAAGGCTGACTTAAGTAGCTAGATATCTGATGGGAGCCCTCACTGGGCAAATGCAGGGAACAGTGGATTTGCGGCAGGAACAACATGGGATGTGTAGTGGAATACTGGGCAAGGCTTAGTAGTAAAGCGTTGGGGTCACCTCCTTGAAATGACATTTACGTGTGTATGCTTTGTTCTGAATCCAAGGCAGCCAGACTGTAACCATGGCTGTAACCTGGATCAGCACTTCAGATCCAGGAAGCAGGAAGGGTGGGGTCTCTGTCCTATCCTAAAACCTTGTTCATGTCATTGTCCAGGCTGTGAAGTCTAAGACAGGTCCAGGGGAGCATCTCCGGAACTCCCTGTGGCACACGGGGGACACCAGCGACCAGGTCAGGCTGCTGTGGAAGGACTCCAGGAACGTGGGCTGGAAGGACAAGGTGTCCTACCGCTGGTTCCTACAGCACAGGCCGCAAGTGGGTTACATCAGGTAGGTGGGAGATCCGTCTCCTCACCTTGCTCTAGAAGCAAAGCGCACACTGTTCTGCATCCCAGAGCCTTATTCTGACCTAGGATAGTCGCCAAGGACATGCCAGGACTTTTGTGACTGCAGGATGGGGAACCCAGTAAAGAGATGGGGGAGAAGGCACTCAGGCTCAGACGGACCACCTGGACAGGATGGTAGGGCCAAGATGGGGATAGAAGGAGCAGAGCTGAAGGGAGGACCCAGCGTTGTGGGGTTGGTGCACGTGGATGGCTGTGCTCTTCTGCCATGCTCTACAGAGAAGCCTGCGGGTGGACATGCCAATGGGTAGGAGATAAGAGGTGTGTCCGGATCTGTTTTCCACACCCTCCCCTGTGATGCCTCTGGGCCCTGTGTAATCACTTACACATGCACATTTCACCCTGACAGTACTACGTCCCTTACAGTCTGTCTTCCTACTAGATCACAAACTCCCTGAGGGCAGCACTTGCATTATTTTATCTTGGTCTCCTCACTGCCCAGCACAAAGCTTGGCATCTCCTACACATGGCATGAACTGTGTAGGTTGTAATTTCTATGATTCCACTTTGGGACAGAAAAGGGGGCATTTCAAAATAGTTATTATAAAAAAGAGGCACTGGGCTTAATAGGGCTGAGAACATGATCATGTTACTGTGAGGCAAAGAGAGTATGTGTCATGTAAGCCAAAGTAGTCTGTCCTGTTTCTTTATAGGAATTTTTTTTTTTTAAGAAAGTATTCTTGGGAGTTAGGAGGCTCAGGGCTGTATCTCTGAAATGTAGATAGTATTTTTCTTCATTTACTGAACTTGCAGATCAACATCCATCCTTGCCTACGTAGTATATTTAGGAAGGAGTACTGAGTGCATTCTCATCAGGCCAGGAAAGCAGCCTTGTGGAAAAAAGGGTGATGAGTGCAAATTCAGATTTTGTTTCTCTTTGTGACATTATATCAAATGACATCAAATGTCATCTTACTTTGCCTCAAGTAAGATGATCATGTTCTCAGCCCTAAGCCCAATGCCCCTTTTTTATAATAAATATTTTGAAATGTCCCCTTTTCCGTCCCAAAATGGAATCATAGAAATTACAGCCTACCTACTCACATAATCTTAAAATATCTGCCAGGCATGGTGGCTCATGCCTGTAATCCCAGGGCCCTTTTGGAGGCCGAGGCAGGCGGATCATGAGGTCAAGAGATCGAGACCATCCTGGCCAACATGGTGAAATCCTGTCTGTACTAAAAATAACTAACTGGGCATGGTGGTGGGCACCTGTAATCCCAGCTGTTCAAGAGGCTGAGGCAAGAGAATCACTTGAACCCAGGAGGCGGAGGTTGCACTCAGCCAAGATCACGCCACTGCACTCCAGCCTGGTGACAGAGCAAGACTCATCTCAAAAAAAGAAAAAGAAAATCAATCTGACCCCTAACAATATAATAGAAAAATAAGAATGATTTATAACAAAACAATTTAAATACTTGGTCACAGCCACACCAGAAGACAAAATGAAATAGACACTTGCACCCATACCTAGAATCACCGTAAAGGTGACATTCTAACACAGACTGTTGTATCAGTGACTCAAAGGTTACACTGCTGTTGCTGACAGTGATTTGAATTTCTCAAATGGTGAACATTTTAGAATGTTAATTTTCAAACAAAACAAAGTACTCAGTAGTTTTCTCAATTTACTCTAGAAAATATATTAAAATTTGTGCAAAAAAATGAAAGGGAGCCAGGTTCTAGGCCCTGATAGTTTTAACAGACTCTGCACCTACCCAAGTGTCTAAGGAACATTCCAGTAGTGTATGGAACACAGGATAGGTTTTGATTGTTCTCTCCAGGGCGTTGCACGCTATCCAGCATCCCTGGCTTCCATCACTCAGTGCCACTCTGACAACCCAAAGCTTCCCGGCACATTTCTTCACCTCTACTTAGGAGGTGCTTCTCTTGTTGCGAATCATTGCTCTGAGATTCTACCAAAAGATATAAATCAGATCAAAGGAAAAGCAGAAGTTTTTAAGCATGATAGCTAGACAAGGTAACTCACATGACAAGACATCAAACTTTCTCATTCATGACATCAGATTTGGTTTGTTTTTTTTTTTTTTTTAACTCAAGTTTGATAGTGTCCCCAACATCATGTTAGGCTTGTGAGAGAAGTTGGGAAGAACCAACCACCCCCAACCCCCACCACACGCACACACACGATCCCTTCCCCCAGGGACTTTCAGTCTAGTAAGTAAGGGGGAACAGCTACAGCACAATCCAGGTCAGCAAGAACTGGAGCCTAAAACAGAGTAGGCGGGGCATGGTGGCTCATGCCTGTAATCCCAGCACTTTGGGAGGCTGAGGCAAGTGGATCACGAGGTCAGGAGTTCAAGATCAGCCTGACCAACATGGTGAAACCCTATCTCTGCTAAAATTACAAACAATTAGCTGGGCGTGGTGGCATGCTCCTGTGATCCCAGCTACTTGGGAGGCTGAAGCAGGAGAATCGCTTGAACCCAAGAGGTGGAGGTTGCAGTGAGCCAAGATGGTACCGCTGCTCTCCAGCCTGGTGACAGAGGGAGACTCTGTCTTCAAAAAAACAAAACAAAAACAGTAAAGATGCAGGTGTATAAGAAGTGGGACCCCTGGGCCTCACAGTGGGTACTTTACCCCGGGTTGGAGTTCATGGAGATCCCTCCGGCTGTGTTGTCCACAGGGTGCGATTTTATGAAGGCTCTGAGTTGGTGGCCGACTCTGGAGTCACCATAGACACCACAATGCGTGGAGGCCGACTTGGTGTTTTCTGCTTCTCTCAAGAAAACATCATCTGGTCCAACCTCAAGTATCGCTGCAATGGTAACGTACATTCTTGTTACTATTCAATGTTGTTTCTAGAATTAATCAAATACTGCCACCTTATTTATATACTGCACTTCCCCCCAAAAGCCCATGCCACAGAGTCATTAAAACCTGAGTCCCTGTACCAGAAGTAAAAAGCAGATTGCATTTACCCTATTTTATACCTATGGAAATTAAGACCCGCAGAATTTAACGGCATGGTTTAGGGTTTGGGGTTCGGTGAGAAATTCAGTCAGATTTAATTTACAGGAAGCCTTTATTTTCATGTGGTTCAAACATAATCACAGATGCAAAATCCACTCTGCCTGCTGATTTTCTGTAGGCCCAGGAAGGAGCACTCCTGGGCTTTAAGCCAACGGTTTGCAAAGCAGCCTGCAGGAAAAAATGGCGGCGAGGGCCTGCGGGGCCTCCTGGGCGGGCTGACAGCGCCCCCTACAGGATGCCTGTGCCACGGGTGGGGTCCGGGGTCGGGGTGGAAGGAGCCTCGCTAACCTCCCTGTGCCCGTTCCTATTGCAGACACCATCCCTGAGGACTTCCAAGAGTTTCAAACCCAGAATTTCGACCGCTTGGATAATTAAACCAAGGAAGCAATCCGTAACGGCTTTTCCGAACACTAAAATCATATATTTTTTAACTTCCTCTAATTTTCTTATATACACTGTGGCTTTCTTTTACCGACCCAGATATCTCAAAACGTTTTCTATGAATGTGGCAATAAAGGAGAAGAGATCATTTTTAAAAACCGTGTTGCTCAGACATGGCTCTCGTGTGGCTCAGGCTTTGGGGTGCCCGTTCTCAGAGGGATCCTCATTAACTTGCAGGGTGGTGGTTTCTTCTCAGACCCGGTAGCCGGTAACATGAGCCTGTGCGTGAGTCACAAGGCCTAGGCCAGAGGTCTCACCTGGGGTACCCCCAATTTGCTCCACACAGAACGCCAAACTGTTCCATGCTCACCTCTGCAGCCTCCTTTTTCTGGGTAAGAAATCTAAGAAACACGTGCTCAGGGGGCACCTTCCCTAGGAAGGCGTTTTTCTGACCGTCCTGGGACAGATTTGCCCAATTCTTTGATGCTCTCCTCCCATCCCACACCTTCCACAGACTTCTATTCTGGTCCCTTCAACGTAATACTTAGGCTTATTTATATATTTGGCTCCCTCTAGTGGAAGGTACGCTTATTGACAATAAAACATCATTGTAATCAGTATCCCCAAGGTACCTGGAATGTGGTAGATAACCAATAAATGTTTGCTGAATTCATAAAGGAAGGAAGGAAGGAAGAAGAAAGGAAGGAAGGAAGAAAGAAGGAAGGAAGGAAGGAAGGAAGGAAGGAAGGAAGGAAGGAAGGAAGGAAGGAAGGAAGGAAGGAAGGAAATGAAATCCTCTTAAGTCTAAGGACGGTAGAGTGTATATGAACCTAAAAGTCCTCCTCGGCTCAAAAAGTCACAACACAGGCTCTATTTGTGGTACCAGTAGCTGGATGTACAGGGCAGAAACTTGCCTAATTTGTACACTAGTCTTTCTTGTATTTCAGTTGTAAGTCAGAGACTCAAGGAAATTTTTATAAATTCTCTAGAACTTTAGTTTCAAAGAACATTGCTGTGTGGTTATATATTTTCTTATTCTAGAATTCCTTAGAGATACATTAAATCATTTATGAAGAACAGACACTCTTACCACAGTTTTACCATGACTTTAACAGTGAGAAAATACACAGTATATATATGTGTGACCACCCATCTCAGGCATGCATGAGATATGGAGGATTTCTGGACACCCTCCTCACAGATACAGCCTGGAGATGTGTGTTGCCTTGTAATCCAGGACATCTGATCTCCTACATCAAAAACTCCAATGGGGCCGGGTGTGGTGGCGCTTGCCTGTGGTCCCAGCACTTTGGGAGCCTGAGGCAGGCAGATCACTTGACGTCAGGAGTTCAAGACCAGCCTGGCCAACATGGCAAAACCTGTCTCTACTAAAAATACAAAAATTAGCCAGGCGTGGTGGTGTTTGCCTGTAGTCCCGGCTATTTGGGAGGCTGAGGCTGCAGTGACCTGAGATCACACCACTGCACTCCAGCCTGGGCAACAAGAGTGAGTGTCCTGAGACTATTATATTCCTTCTGAGGCTGGTGGAAGGAGGTGGTCACCCATGCCCACCCCTGGGGCAGCCTCCCTGCTGTTGGCTGTGCAAGCCCCAAGAACACATTAGGTGCGCAGGAAACACTCTCTTGGTTAAATCTTTGGTGTCTATAACTGTTTTAGAACTCATGGGTCCACAGGAGATCTAGAACTTAATTCCATCCCTTACAGAGCTTATTACATTTTGGAGAAGACAAAACTTGTTATTAATGCAAAATAGGAAACAAAGCAGCATGTGGATCCAGCAGTGTGCTGAAGCCAGCTCCTACCAGCTCATAAGAGCCAACTGTTCAAGTTTTAGGAATGTTGTGAGCCAGTTAAACCGTTGGTAGTTTGAAATTGGCCATGGTGGGAGTATTTACACAGAAACTGGCAAACACTTACAATATCAGGGCCCCAGAGAAGTGGCTGTTAAACATTTATCAGCACACAAGTGATTATTCTACCTTGTCCTATTCCTAATTGGCCCTCCTTATATTTTTGAAGCTGATGTAGAAAACTTGAGGCTTTCAGAAAATGTCTTGCATAAGAAATGAAAAGTGAAAATGGGCGAGGCGCTGTGGCTCACACTTGTAATCCTAGCACTTTGGGAGGCCTATGCGGGAGGATCACTTGAGGTCAGGAGTTTGAGACCAACCTGGCCAACATGGTAAAACCCCATCGCTACTAAAAATACAAAACTTAGGCCAGATGCAGTGGCTCATGCCTGTAATCCCAGCTACTCAGGGGAACTGAGGCACAAGAATTTCTTGAACCCACAAGGCAGAGGTTGCAGTGAGCCGAGATTGCACCACTGCACTCCAGCCTGAGTGACAGAGCAAGACCCATCTCAAAAAAAAAAAAAGGTGAAAATCAGGAAGCACTCAAGAGAAGCTAGCCAATTACAGACTCAGGAGATGAGCTAGCAGGTGTGGTATGCTCTCCCCCAGGTAACTCCCCAAGCTACTTGGATACTTTTTATAGTCAACCTTAGCACAATGACTCAATTCCTATTACAGTTCCATTAGGTTAGTAAGAGTCTCATTTGAATCTTACATCTCTAGGACTGAGTGGCCATCAATCCCGCACCAACTAGTACAAATTCATTCCAATGCCCTTCACCTCCTGACTTCTCATGGAGATCAAGAAGACTGAGGAGCTGGGCACGGTGGTGTGTGCCTGTGGTCCTAGCTACTTGGAAGGCTGAGTGGGGGGGAATCACTTGGGACCAGGAGTACAGGTCCAGCATGGGCAACACAGCAAGATCCTCTTTTTTTTTTTTTTAAGTACTCGGGGAAGGGAAGGCGTGGATGGGTAAGAGGCATTGTCATTGTAGGGAAAAGACCATGGCTGAGGAGAATCCCACAGGATGTGTGGGAGATCTCTAGAGGCAGGAAGAGGGCTCGGGGGGCAGCAGGAGGAGGCCTGTGGTCTGGGAGCAGGTGCACAACGGGAGGTGCAGCCCTTTCTGCTTACACCCAAGAAAGAGGGGAAAAAAAAAAACCTCTTCCTTCTCCCTATACAGGTTATTAGTCCTAGGCTTCAGAAGTGTTATGGTGATTACCCTTAGGTTAATTTTGGAGACGGGCTACAGAGTCAAAGAGAAGGAAAAGGATACAGAATCCAGCCACCTGCTATTGAAATATCCACAGGCGTTTTTTATGGCCCAGGCTGGAAGATAACTAGGAACAGACTCAAGCAGGAAAAAGAATCTGGTCCAGAAGCGAGACCACAGGAGAACTAGATAATGTACAGCATGAATCTAGGGGTGAGAGGTGGGGTGCCCCTGTTTGGGGTACACAGCTGGGGTCCCCAGTAACATTGGAACTGTAAAGGGGGCTCAACCTTTCTTTCAGAGGCATGAAGAAACCCCTGCAGTGTCCACAGCTCACATCTTATGGCCCTGCCCAATTTGGTCACAGGCAACAGAGACACTCGCCCCAAATTTCCTAGGGCAGGATAGTTGTCACTCACCCCAAATTTTCTGAAGCAGTATATCACAGTGGGTGAGGGTGTTTTAGTCCAGAGAAATAATTCTAGTACTGAAGAATTAAGTGTAGAGACACTGAAGTCAATTGAACCCATCGTCCTCATATTTTTGTGTGGTATTGAGGAATTACATTTGAATATGTGGCAACATACTTGAAATATCTAAGAGAATTTGGCATAATTAGAGAATGCAATAAATTGAACTTGTGATCCCAGTTTAGAATGCAGACAGATGCTCTTCACCTTAAAATGGGGTTATGTCCTAATAAATCCATAAGTTGAAGATAACTTTTTTTGTTTCGTTTGTTTGTTTTTTGAGACGGAGTTTCGCTCTTGTTACCCAGGCTGGAGTGCAATGGCGCGATCTCGGCTCACCGCAACCTCCGCCTCCTGGGTTCAGGCAATTCTCCTGCCTCAGCCTCCTGACTAGCTGGGATTACAGGCACGCGCCACCATGCCCAGCTAAGTTTTTGTATTTTTAGTAGAGACGGGGTTTCACCATGTTGACCAGGATGGTCTCGATCTCTTGACCTCGTGATCCACCCGCCTCGGCGTCCCAAAGTGCCGGGATTACAGGCGTGAGCCACCGCGCCCGGCCCAGTTGAAGATATCTTAAGTCCAGAGTGCATTTAGTACTCCAATAAACCTAAGTCAAAAATTTTAAGGCATCCATCATTAAGTCCAGATACTCCTCAATTTAAATAGGCTTATGTTCTGATAAAAATTGTTAGTCAAACCATCATAAGTTAGGAATTATCTACAGTTCAATATTTGGTTTATCATCATCGTTATTACTGAGACAGTATCTCACTATTGCTCACGCTGGAGTGCACCGTTGCAATCTCAGCTAACTGCAGCCTCAACCTCCTGGGGTCAAGCAGT